CTTGCCCGTTCCACCCCTACCTCTCTTGGGACACCTCGAGAAGGTGGTGCGGCCCTCTTCCTCCGGATCCCCTCCTCATAGTAGAGACGTCTCCATTTGGAGTTAAGGTCCCCTCTTTCTAGGTTCGGAATCTAGAAAGACTATCGGTGACTTCCAAATCTCAAGAGACGTCTTGGGATTGGACCTCACGCCCAGTCTCATTCCTGGTGACTATGGGCTGTGGTGGTCTCTCCCTTAGGGTGCTTGCTCTGAAATCCGAAGGGCTTAAATCTAAAACCTAAATGGCATTTAATACACCTACCCACTCAAACCTGGCCTCAATATCAGGTAACCAAAATGTGTGGCCTAGTTGTGAGAGTCACCATTCCCCTACAGGTGTTGTAGTCACAGTTTTGGCAAGGGAATACATTAAATACAGGACACATAATTTATAAGATTATTTTATGATAATTACCCAAAGAGTCAAATGCAAAGGAGTGAAAGAGATTAACTTCACACTAAAGGCCCAAAGAATTCAGGTGAGGGCCTAGATCCCAGCAGTTTCCCAGACAAGTCCACCTAAAAGCTTAGAATCCAAAGCAAAGTCCACCTAGAGTCCAGCCAGCGGCCTAGAGCCCATGGCAATGTCTCATGCTTGTCTGTATTGAGGATCTGCACCTGGAAGGTCCAAAAGCCAGTGGTGGGAGCCAGAAAACCTACTCTGGTGAGCTGAAGGATTTGTGCCACTAAGCTGAGCGATCCATTTTGGAGCCGGATGTGATGCTCACGGTGAAAATCAGAGCTCCCCTGATGAAAACAGCAGCCATTCCCAGTGACAGTGAAGCTCTGGGCTCCTCCTCCAAAGAGAACAGCCAAGTTTGCGGCAGGAAAACCATCCACAGCAAGCTCCTAGAAAAATCAACAGGACAAGATCTTCCCTCTAGTTCTTTTTTTTTTTTTTAATTTAATTTATTGGTACATTCTAAGTAGACAGTACAGTTACATTCATTACTGGGACCTTGTACCTTCACATGCCAGGTCTTGGTTCTCATTTTTTCTCCTTGTCCCCACCCTCCCTTCACCCTCCCCTCCCCGCTTCAAACCCATCTAGTTCTTTTTTTATGGCCACTGATAATAATCTTCAGGTGGATCCTCCACACCCAGCCCTCACTGATTCAGTTCAGCTGGGTGTTACAAGTTGACCATTAGTCAATCCACCACAGGGGGAATATTATAGATAGTTAAATTAATTAGAGGAGTCAAAATGAAAGACAAAACACATTCACTGGCTGGGCGTGGTAGCGCACGCCTGTAATCCCAGCACTCAGGAGGCTGAGACAGGAGGATTGCTGTGAGTTCAAGACCAGCCTGAGCTACACAGTGAGTTCCAGGTCAGTCTCAACTACATAGTGAGACCCTGTCTCAAAAAAACAAGCTCAGTGGTTCTGCTGTCTGCCTCACAAGTGCAAGGTCCTGAGTTCAACCCCCACCCCCCCACCAAAAAAAAAAAAAGACACATTTCACTGGTTAGCATTACAAAAAGAGAAAAAATGCTGCACCCACTTACTTCCCCTGGGGATAAATAGCAGTGATTGATACTCTAAATAGGCATCCATCTCCTCAGCCCATTTCCTTTCTAGAAATTCCTTGTACACTTGCCACATGACTTATATTCCTATTTGATCCCCATTTAATCAATATTACCTGATGACTGCACTTGTAATCTTATTGGTTGTTCAAAGTTTTGTCCTATTTTGTGTCCATCTTGTGGTTTTTCCATTGGATCTTACGGTTTTGTCCCACTTTGTACTCACCTCACCTCGTGGCTTTGCCCTACAAAACACCTTTGAAAAGCAGGGTGGGTGGGCAACCCACTTTCTGGTCCCCCTTATGTCTCTCTCAGACAAAAGCTATCTTTCTCTCAATAAATTTTCTACTCTTAACCTCCACAGTTCCTACAATTCATTCTTTGATTTTAGAGAACACGAACTCCCATTTTGGATGTGTAGCAGGTTGGGAGCTATACCATTTCCCTTGTTTGGATTATTTTTGCTTATTTGGATTACTTGGTAACACTATATCATTTGCATAACCTGGCCAATTTAGTATGACCCTGTTTCAAAATTTAAAAAAAGAAAGAAAAGGGCTGGGCACATAGCTAAGTATGAAGGCCCTGGGTTCAATTTCCCCAGGGAGAAAAATAAATCAGCTGGTTACGGTGGCTCATGCGTATAATCCCAGCATTCAGGAGGCTGAGGCAGGAAGATTGTCACAGGTTCATAGGGAGATAATGAGTTCAAGACCAGTCTGAACTACACAGCAAAACCCTGTTTCAAAAAAAAAAAAAAAAAATCAAAATCTTTTTACTCTTTCATTATTAGTATGAAAAAAGCAAGCCACTTTCAATCCCCGGTACCAAAAAAAGCCCAAAAAAACAAAAAACAAAAAAGCAAGCCACTGACTAGGAGAACCTATTTGTAATACATGAATTGCAAAGTCAAAAGATTTATATCCTGGATTTATAAAGAACTTTAAAAAGTCAATATCGAAACAATTTAAAAGAACAAAAATTTTGAATGCCAGGTGTGGTGGCATCCCTGGAGTCCCAGCTGTTCAGGAGGCTGAAGCGGGAGACACGCAAGTCTGAGGGCAGCCTACACACCATAGGAAACGGTGAGATCTTGCTCAAAAACAAACTCCACAAGAGAGGAGATATGAAGCCAGAGAGCAGAGTCCATATTGCATGATCCCATTATTGTATGATTCCATTTTTGTGAGTCCAGGAAAGACAACTGGAACCCATTGTGTCACCAAGCAGGGGACAGAGGTAGGGCGGGGATTCACTGGGAAGGGCACACGAGAGCATTTGGGGTGACGGAGGTGTTTTATATCTTGATTGTGGTGATGGATACATGAATGTCTCTCCGTCAAAACTCACTGAATTGTACTCTTTTTTTTTCTTTTTGGCAGTTCGGGGTGTTGAACCCAGGGACTTGTGCCTGTGAGACAAGCACTCTGGCACTGAGCAGCATTCCTTTTTTTTTTTTTAATGGTTTTATTTTGAGATGAGGTCAATCAAGGTGGCCCAGCCTCGGCCTCCTGAGTAGCTGGGATCACAGGCATGTGTACCCTTAAAACATGCACTCAGGTAAATCTATTTTAGCCAAACTGATTTTTAAAAAAGAACCAGAAATCTCTACCCTGATATTTCTCAGCTGTGTTACCTTGATCAGGTCTCTTCACTTCCCTGTGCCTCAGTGAACTCATCTGTAAGATAGGAATAATTACGGTATCCCAAAGGACTGTTTTGAAATTTAAATGAGAGTCATTCACGTGCAGTGTCACAACATGAATCGCCATCAACATAAATTATAACAGTGTGGCACTGAACCCGAGGCCTCATACATAGTGGCAGTTGCTCTGACTGAGCTACAACCCTACTCCTCGCCTTTCTATGGCACTGGGCATAGAACCCAGGGCCTCTGCACTGAGCTACATCCTCAGGCCATTTTTTATTTTGAGACAGTCTCACTAAGTCATGAAGTTGCCAGGGCTGGACTTGAACTTCCAATCCTCCTACCTCTCGGCCTCCCAAGTACTGGGATTATGGACTGCACGTCACACCAGGTGGTGTTATTCTTACTGGCGGAGGGGTGCCCAGTTCCTTGGTTTGGAGGCCCTCTGAGTGCACCCCCAGGGGGTCGCAAGCTGGAAGCCCTATCCCAGGGCGTGATGCTGGGAAGGCCTCAGGGAAGGGGTTAGGCTACTGGAAGTGCTGCCCTGGAAATGAATAATGCCAGTGTGCAAGAGTGAGTGAGCTCTCCCAGGAGGGAATGGCTGGAAAGCAAGGCTGTTCCATGTCCTTATCCTCTTCTGATTTTTGTTGTCTTTTTTGTTTTTTTTGTTTTTTGTTTTTTTTTTGGTACCAGGGATTGAACTCGGGTCCTTGAGCTTGCAAGGCAGGCCACCAAACCACTGAGCTAAATCCCAGGCCCTGATTTTTGTTTTTTGAGACAAGATCTCACTACCTAGTTCAGGCTGGCTTTGAACTCAATGTGTAGCCCAGGCTGGCCTCAAATTTACAATGATCCTCCTGCCTCAGCCTCTGGCGTGTGCCCCCACACCCAGCTGGCTTGTCCTCTTCCACACTTACTGTTTCTGATGCCTCTCTGCTGTATCGTGATGCATTCAAGGGAACCCCAGCAGGAGCTGTAGAGATGGAGCCTCCTGACCTTGAACTTCCAGACTCCAAAGCTGTGAGCCAAAAACACTTTTCTTTCTAAGTACCAAGGCTGGTGGTGTAGCCCAGAGGTAGAGTATTTCTGCTTAGCATATCCAAGGCTTTGGGTTCAGTCCTCAGTGCACACACATGCACACACACACACACACACACACACCCATAAATTGCTCGTGTAAGAACCCAGCTTCGTGTATCTTGTTAAAGCAACAGAAGCAGACTAAGACACCACCCTAAGGACAGAGGCCACTCCAGGTACACCAGCTTCTGATATCACGAGCACATTGCTCTTGGTGGCCTGAGCTCTGCCTGTCCTCAGGGGCCTTCACAGCTGCAGGCCCTGCTGTCCATCCTCCCTTCCATGCCCAGGACCCTGGCTCTGACCCAGAACCACTGTGTCAGGCACAGGGCGCTCAGCAACCCCGTCTCTCTGGGTTCTTTTCCATTTGCACCCCTCAGCCAGGGTAGGAGTGGCCAGGGCCTGGGACACAGGCTCTTCCTGGGCACGCAACTCCTCAGCTCTCTTCTCAAACCGTTTTGCATCTCCTCTCTCTATGCTTCCGTTGCAGCCTTGGCCATCAGCTCAGTATCTAAACCTTCATTCTTGCAGGTCTGTTGTGGAAGTGGCTGGTCCAGCATCGTGACTTCCTTTGTTCCATTGTGTCCTGAGTCAGAGACTAGAGAGGGTCACAGGATGACAGGAAACAGGAATTTAGGTGCGGGGGTGTGTGTGCCCTGAGAGAGTTTCAAAACGCGTTCTGTTCGGAATGTCGGTGAGGAGCGGGTGAGGGAAAGCAGGCCAAGTCTGGGGGAGCAGCTCCCACACCACCTCAGCCAGGGCCGCACTCGGAGACTTCTGGGAGGCTGGAGGTGGGGGCAGGGGACCGAGGAGGAAGAGGAGCAAAAGGTGGCGCCGGAGAAGCAGGGGCGGCTCCGGCTGCGGAAGGGCAGGTGTGATTTAGCAACAGCCTTGGGGAGGCCCTGGCAGAGGGGCTGGGATCGGGGAGAGGGAAGGGAGCAGTGGGCTGGGCTTGGCTTCCCCTCTGCTCATATAGGGTGTGAGGACAGGAAGCAGAGTTTCCTTCCTCCCTCTTTCTTTCCTTCTCGCTCTCTCACTTTTCCTTTCCTGCTTTCCTTTTTGTCCCTTTGTCCCAACGCGTCCCCCACCCCCTGCCGACACACACACACACACACACACACACACACACACACACACACACACACACTGAACACACACACACACACACACACACACACACACACACACACTGTAAAGTAGCTCTGGGATTGTCCTGGACCTACAGCCCCACCGAGCCTCAAGTTGACCAGCAAGGGAATTCCATACAGGGTCGTCGCCGTCAGCCCAAGAGCCCTATTGCTGCGCGGCTATGTTGCCTGAGACCAAACTTGCAAAGGATCACAAATCTGGGAAGCTTCGATTCTACAAGAAGACCACAAGGGGGCGAGGGTGTTCCTGCCAACTTGGAACCTGATCTGTCTCCACATTTAAAATGTCGGGCCAGGGATTCCACACAAGCGCAAGGTAAAAAAAATGTCATCTCCACCGCGGTGGCCACTAGTCTTGTTCACTGCTCTGTCTGGGCGCACAGTAAATAACTGCTGAGTGATTAAGGGTTGACCATCTATGAAGCCGGAGAGACCTTTAGGCTTGAAGGACTAGTGAGCAGAGCTACTGAGGATATCCTGCTGCCTGAGTTGGCCACGTGGGACCTCGTGGTTGGACCCAGAGGGACGTGTGGAGTGTGACTTGCTTCCAGGCAGACCTGAAGGGCCCCCTAGGGTCCTTGCAGCCACTGTGTCCCGGGTCACATTGTGCAGATAACTGAAAGTGAGATGACAGCTATTGAGTCAGACAGAACCGAGTTGTCCGGGGTCCTCCATGAAGCTGGGTGACTTGGGCATGTCACTCAATGTCTCTAAATGTGTCCACTCACCTACTGAGAGAGACACAAATGGTACTGCCACCAAGGCCAGCTGTAAGCAGATTCACAGGTCACAACACCGTTGAGCTTGGCATCCAGGCCCAACAGTGCTGGAGATGAGCCAGAGGGCTGCTGCCCCAGGCTCAGGGCCTCAGGACACAGCACACGCAGAGCACCTTAATCAGTCAGCAGGCAGCAGGCAGAAAGGTGCACGGCATGATTCCTTTTCTTTCTTTTCTCCTTTCTTTAGAGCCAACACAAACACTCTTTCTTTAAGTCTCCAAAGTGCTCTCTCCTAACACTTCCATACAGTGCCGGAGAACTGGGTCCACAGGCAAGAGTGGGCACCATTTTGGGGAGCATTGTACTGACAGATATTACAACATAACCGACGCAGATGTTTCTCAGACAGGTCAGAAAACCTTACAGGTCTAAAGTCCTTCCCTAATGGGCAACTATAAGGGCTTGGTTCCAGAACCCTCTCAGATACCAAAATTCACAGGAGCTCAAGTCCCTTGGATAAAGTGGTATCGTATTTACCCATAACCTATGCATATCTTTCCATTTTAAGTCATCTCTAGATTACCTAAAAATCCTTACTAGAATATAAATACTATATGAATAGTGGTTATACTATATTGTTTTGGGGAATAACAACACAAAAAAGTACTGCACCTGTTCAATACTCTGTGGATGGAGAATGCACGGACCTGGAGCGTTGACTGCCTTAGTCCTAAAATGGACGCACTGTCCCCACAGCCCACGACCCGACCAGGTCTGTGACAGAAGAGGAAGTGCAGGCAGTGGCAACCTTCCAAGCTCTCCCAAGTGAACCCCAGACAGTTATATGACCTCACAAACATGGCAGCCCGACTCCTAAAGGGAAACTGTCCTGAGTAGCAGTTAAACAAAAAACAAGTAACAAACAAAATTTTTAAAAACCCCAAAACAGATATTATATGCAGAATAAAGTGAAGATTAAGGTTCATCTCCCCCCCTAGAGTCGATGTACCATTTCTAGAGAAAATCAACCTTTCCTTTTACAATTGCCTTGATTCCCTTGTTGAAAATGAATTGAAAGAACCGGGCATGGTGGTGCACGCCTGTAATCCCAGCACTCAGGAGGCTGAGGCAGGAGGATTGCTGTGAGTTCAAGAGCAGCCTGTGCTACATAGTGAGTTCCAGGTCAGTCTCAACTACATAGTGAGACCCTGTCTCAAAAAACCCAACCCCCCCAAAAGAAAATGAATTGACTGTATACATATTGGTGTCTTTCTTGGCTCTAATTTGTCCACTGGTTTATGTATATATTTTTCTTTAAACTATACCCCACTTTCAGCTGGGTGTGGGGGCAAACACTAGTAATTCCAGAAACTCAGGAGGCTAAGGCAGGAGGAAAACTACATATTCAAGACCAGCCTGAGCTACGTAGCAAGTTCAAGGCCAGTAGGAACTACAGAGTGAGACCCTGTCTCAAAAACGAATAATAGTCATCTCACTTTCTCCCTGTTTAGCCCAGGCTGGCCTCATATTTACAGTCTTCCTGCCTCAGCCTCCTGAGTTCTGAGACACCTGAGCCACTAATAGTTTTTTTGTTTTGTTTTGTTTTGTTTTGTTTTGTTTTGTTTTGTTTTGTTTTGTTTTGAGACAGGGTCTCACTATGTAGTCCAGACTGGCCTGGAACTCACTGTGTAACCCAGGCTAAACTTGAGGCAACTCTCCTGTCTCAGCCTTCCAAGTGCTGGGATGACAGGCGTGCACCACTGTGTCCAATCATTGACTGTAACTGTATTTTGTTAGTAAGACACTCTTTAGTCAAAGCCAGTATTTAACTTTAAAATAAATTTTGAAATTAAGTAATGTAATTCCTCCAACTTTGTTCTCTTTCAGAATGTTTTAGCTGTGTGTGGTGGTGCACACCTGTACTCCCATCACTTTGGAGACTTAGGAGAATCGCTGTGAGTGAGGCCAGCCTGGACTACATATGGAGACCCTGTCTCCTGTCTCAAGAAGCCAAAAACCCAAAAACCAGAACAAAGATGTTTTAATATTTTCAGGTCCCTGGCATTTCCATGTAGATGTTGAGATCAGCTTGTCAATTTCCTCAAAAAAAGCCTATTGGGAGGACGGGGAGGGAAAGAGATGGAAAAAGAATTCACACGTGTCATGTATGCGTACCAACTCCCCACGAGGAATACACTCATTATGTATTACACATGTATACCCATAAAAAAGAGCCTCCTGGTTTTTTTTCTTTGGTTTTTTTTTTGGGGGGGGATTTGAGACAGGGTCTCACTGTGTAGCCCAGGCGGGCTTCAAACTCACAGCGATCCTCCTGCCTCAGCCTCCCTAGCATGGGATTATAGGCATGTGACACCACATTTAACACCTCCTGTTATTTTGATTGCGATTGCACTGAATCTGTGGCTAAAAGTCTAAGGGAATCAATAGCTTAATGCTATTGAATCAGTGACTCCTCCCTCTCAAATAATAGACCCAGGTCTACTGCATTCTCCTAAGAATAAGGTTAACCAGGTTAGGTACTTTGCCAATAGAGTAGCTCTAGCTGCTGGAATCTGGCAAGAGGAGGCCACAGAACTAAAGGGCAGATGTAGGTGTAGGTTCAGTGGAACTTTGTATCCATGGTAGAAACATATACCCCTCACTACCACCAAAACCCATGACCTCTCATCCGGCAGAGTTTAAAGTTACAGAAGCAGCCAGGTGTGGTGGTGCAGAACTGTGATCCAGCACTCCAGAGTCTGAGGCAGGAGGACCACTGTGAGCTTGAGGCCAGCCTGGGCTACACAAAGAGTTCAAGGCCAGCCTGAACTACATAGCCGAGACCCTGTCTCAAAACGACGAGGAACAAAACAACAAAACAGAGTTGAATAATAGGTAATGGGTGTATGGGGTTAACTATGTCATTCTCTCTAATACTATGTTCATAAATATTCATAACAGAAAAGTTAAGTAAATAAAATCTACAGAAAAAACAACAGCCTCAGGCAGTTTTACTGATTAATTTTACCAAATTGTCAAGGAATAAATCAGTAGAAATTTATATGACTACTTCCAGAGAAAAGAAAAGCAAGAATGTTGCCTGTAATCTCAGTACTCTGGGAGGCTGAGGCAGGAAGATTGTACGTTGGAGCTCAGGCTGGGCAATTTAGTGAGACCTTGAGTTAAAATACAAAAAAAGAAAAAAATATATTTTGAGACAGAGTTTTGCTCTGCAGTTCAAGCTGGACTTGACCTCACTATACAGCCCAGGCTGGCCTAGAACTTGTGGGGATTCTTCTGCCTCAGTCTCCTGAGTGCTGGGATTACACCACCACACCTAGCATGAGATACAGAAAAAATTTTCCCCAAGGTAACATTTATTTAAAAGTTAATAAAAATTCTTAGAACAGCATTCATTATAATGTGTTTTTGATAAATGACTAAATCAATGGCTCTTAAGAAAAACACCCTTGTCTCAGTCCTGCTCAGTATACACACCTGTGTCATTTGAGGAAAATCCATACATATTAGAAATGTTCAGAGCCAGGGATTTATCCCAGTGGCACTGTGCCTACTTCCTAAGCACAAGGTCCTGAGTTCCATCCCTGGTACCCACTCCCCAAAAAGTGTTCACTGCAGACCTCATCATGGAAGATCATATATTTATGTGCTCACTAGTAATCCATCACTAGTCCAAATGCACACTATTAGGAATCAGTATACCACAAATTATTCAGAATACCCAGAAATAGTATTTCCTATTTAAACATTCAGAATAAGCTGACTGAAATAAGTGCACACCTTGAATTTGAACTTTCAAGGCCCATCACTGACGTCGATCAGTTACATCAGGCCAGGGATTTAGCTCAGTGGTTCTGCCTCCCACCTCACAAGCGTAAGGATAGGAGTTCGAACCCCTGGTACAAAAAAAAAAGAAAAAAAAAAGTTGTGTCAGGATATTCTTCTATAATAATCTTAATTATAAAATCCCTACCCCTCCCTGATGCAGGAGATGGGGGTAGTTCTAATATTTGAATCTTTCTAATTCACTAGAACTGCAAAAATTCCTGATGAATTGTGTTTAAATTTTATGCTTTGATACATAGCACACCACTAAAGCCACTTATGCCTTGTGTGGTTTAATCATATGTCAAACTCTGTAAAATCTGTTCTTGTACTTTAATCAATCAAGGAAATAAACAACATGTAATAAATGCCAAATAATATAACTTCTTTAAAAAGCAAGATGCTATCTACAAATTTATTTTAAAAATACTTGCTAGCCATCATAGAAGGAAAACACATACCAAGAGGATCCCACTGAACCTTTCTCCTCTGAGTAGCTTTTTCTAAGCCTAGAAATGTTTCACAGGGGTTTCTGGCATGAACTGACTTTCCAAATATGATCACCTTGAGAAGGGACATCTATTTTTAATCCCCTGGGCCCAACACAATGTCTCAATGTTCATCGGTTTAGTGAGTCAGATATCCATGAATTAGATTCTTCTGTTACGGATCTCAGGGCTCACAACAGCCATACTTTATCTTCTGGCAATAACTGCCTGCTATACTTTCTTGGTATTTAACTACAGGTAGCAGCATTCTCTTCATTAAAGTTTCCATTTTTTCCTAAGGCCATATGTACTAGTTGATGCTTACTAGAGTGAGATGGAAAAGAGAACAAATGTCTGTCTTCACACGGAGACTGGGAGGATCCAGTCAAGAGCTTGGAGACCACTGCACGGCACTGCACCAGGAAGGCCCTACAGCCACTGGTGGAAGCTGGAGGGTCTGTGCCAGCAGGGTGAAGATCTGTGCTGGACGGCTGAGGGATCTGTCACTGGAAGTCAGGAGACGACGACCAAGATGGAGACAAGGACTGAAGCTCCTCCCGAAGGAAGACAGCAGCCAAAGCTCACAGTTTCCTTGGATACTGGATGATGCCACTCGGGTCTATGTTTCTCCCTGACAGTGGTGCCCTGAAACACCTGTGAAAATGCAGATTCTGAAATTGTATCTCTGTGGGCAGGAGACAGGCTGAGAAATCCATAGTTCTGCAGGTACCCTTATTGATTCTGAGGCACCCCACTAAGCTGGTTTCCATACTAGTCTCACATCTCAGCATGAGGACCTTCTTTTGTTCAGTGTCAGTTCTCACGTTTGATGATGCAAGAAAACCAACACTTAGATTGCAGATCCAAATTTATGGTGAGACCTTGAGGACATCATTTATGTTCTCCGGACCTGACTTCTCTTCCAAGCTGTCCTCCATGCAGTGACGTCCCCTCCCTGGAACCTGCCGGCACTCCCCTTCCTGCCCCTGCACGCCCCGCACAGCAGGTCCTGAGCCGAGTGCACAGCCTCTGCCCAAAAATTATTTTAAAAGAGCCACAAATGTATCTCAGTGGTGGAGCACCCCTGGGTTCCATCTCTAGTAAAGAAAAGAAGGAGGGGAGAAGGGGGAGGGGAGGGAAAGAAGGAAGAGGAGGAAAAAAGAGAAAAGAGAAATATCTCCTTAAATCATTCTATGCGACTGATACAACTTTGATATCAAAATTAGAAATTAGATAAGATTGGTTTTTCTGGTTTTGGGGTTTGAAGTTTTTTGTTTTTTTTTGTACTGGGCTTAAACCCAGGGCCTTCACACTGAACTGTACTCCCAGTCCCCACACACACTGTTTGAGACAGGGGTTCCCTAAATCACTATGTTGCCCAGGCTGGGCTCAAACTTGCAAACCTCCTGCCTCAGCCTCCTGATGTTATGGGATTACCAGGGTGAACTATTATGTCTGGCCAGGACTACTATTTTTGGTTAAGTATAGCCATTTCTTGTACAAATACAATTTTAAGCACAAAAACATCACCTAAAATGTCAAGAGATTGTTTTCAACTATGTGCTAGCACGGTGTGATCAAGTTGGGTTCATCCCAAGTATACAAAGTGGTTTACCAGCAGGTGACCTGGGTCACTTTTTGTATTAACAGAGAAAGGAGAAAACCACAGGATCTTCTCTGTAGATAAGGGAGAGTTTGATGTGATCAGCACGTACTTCATCATAAAGAATTAGTAGGAACCTAGTCTAATGATGGGCAGGTATCAGACACAACAATCAGGGCCGGGGATTTAGCTCAGTGGTTTTACCGCCTGCCTCGCAAGTGCAAGGATGCGAATTTGATCACTGGTACCAAAACAACAACAACAACAACAACAAACAAACAAACACCCAACAACAAACAGCATGGTACTGGTGTTAATTTACATTATTAACATGGAAAGCTTTTCTGTAAATGGGAAAAAGTTGTTCATGTATCCTTTAAATCAGACACTTATCTCCTGAAAATCAGTAGTGTATAATCTTTAAAATCAGTTCTTTGTGGTTGATTACAAAAATGACCCTCAATTCTTTCCTTCTTTGTAACCACATACCTTGCAACATGACTGTAGCTTTTTCCATTAAGTTGCAATATCAAAGCTGGGTGAGGTGGTGCATGCTGGTAATCCTAGCACTCTGCGAGGCTGAGGCAGGAGGATTGCAAGTTGGAGCCCAGCTTGGGCAACTTAATGAGTTGGTAAGAACCTGCCTCAAAATAACATTAAAAGACAGCTAGGTGCAAAGGCCCTGGGTTCAATTCCCAGTGGCACAGGGGGAAAGAAGAATCAATTTTCCCACTCCTTAAATTTGGGCTTCAAGACTAAAGAGGTGGAAGAGACTTGCTTTTTCTTTTCTTTCTTTCTTTTCTTCTTTTTTTTTTTTTTTTTTTTTTTTTTTTTTATTTTTTTTTTTTTTTTTTTTTTTTGTACTGGAGGTCAAACTTGGGACCTTGAGCTTGCAGGGTAGGTGGTAGTGGCACCAATGAGCTAAATCCCTGACCCAAGACTTGCTTTTTCTCATCTTCTTTCTCCAAAGTTTGTAAATATGCATGCAGCCCTAGTTGTTCACATAGAGAGTACCAATTCTACTAGTTAACAAATTATGTTTTTAAAATAAAACAAGGTCTCACTCTGTTCTCCAAGTTGGCCCCAAACTCTTGGGCTCAAGTGATCCTCCCTCTTTGTCCTCCCCAGTAGCTGGTTCCCTGGCTCTAGTTAACTTTTTTATTTATTTTTTTGAGGCAAGTTCTCACTATATAGTTCAGCCTGGCCTTGAACTCATGGCAATCCTCCTGTCTCAGCCTCCCGAGTGCTAGGACGACAGGTGTGTGCCACCATGCCTGGCCTAGTTACCATTTTTTTGTATTAAATTGTCTCTGTTCAGATAACCAAGTGTGCTTTCAGTGTTCTCCTGGAACAGAGGAGTAAGGTGACAGCTGCCGGGGCAGATCACAGGCTCAGGAAGAAAAAAAATATCTAAAAATTGTGCTAAAAACATACATTAGTTCACCACACGGGGGAAAATGGGGGAAACAAGAGTCAGAGTGGGGGAATCCATCTGCTTCAAATACATTAAAGACTCAAAAGTTGAAGAGCTGGGGATTTAGCTCAGTGGTTCTGCCACCTGCCTTGCAAGCGCAAGGTCCCGAGTTTGATCCCTGGTACCAAAACAAAAACAAAAAAAACCTTAAAGGTCAAAATCCAGATATTAAAACGTTTGGAGGAAGGCTGGGGTTGAAGCTCAGTGGTAGAGAGCTTGTCTAGCACACGTGAGGCTCTGTGTTGGGGCCCAGCATCACAACAAAAAAAAGAAACAAACAAACTTTTAGGAAAAAATACAGGTAATAGTTCCAATCTTGATTAGAAGATTGTTATAGAAGACACAAAAATTCATTTACAAATCAATAAATTTCGCTGGTTGCAGTAGTGCAAAGTAGACTCATAATTGTCCTGCTCCATCTGACTTGTTTCACTTATCACAATATCCTCAAGGGTCCCTGAAGTTGTAGCATGTATCACAATTTTCTTCCTTTTTTTCTGGTCTTTTTTGTACCAGGAATTGAACTCAAATTTTTCTTCCTTTTATTTATTCAATTTTGGTTTTTAGAGACAAGGTCTTGCTATGTAGTCCAGGCTGCCCTTAAATTCACTATGTAGCCCAGGCTGGCCTTGAACTCAGGTTGATTCTCCTGCCTCAGCCTCCGGAGTGCTGGGATCACAGGAGTGTGCCACCACATTTGGGTTCCTTCCTTCCAAAGACTGAATAATATTCCCTGGTATTCACGCATCACATTTTGTATATCCATTTGTGGATTTTTGATGATTTTAATTTTTATTAGTACTACATATTTGCAATACATATGATTACATTCATTGTGGAGCGTTGGTACTCAAAACATAACACATCTGAATTCTATTCTCCGCCTCATCCTGTGTATTCTGTGTCTATAGGTCAGGGTTTTCCTGAGAAGCAGAGATGGAGGATGTTCCCCAAAACCCGGTGGGACCTGAAATCCTAGATGGCCCTGAACCCTGTTTTCCCCTTATGCACTGCAGCCTGACCTCATAGCATGGGAGTTCATCAGTCCCTTCCTGCTCCATTTCCTGGTCCCTCTTTTGCATTGCTATTTTTGCATTTTGAGACCATTATTAGGTAAAACTAGGGCTACATGAAGCTGATCACTGTGATGCCGGGACAGTCCATTTGGTAACCAAGGTGGCCACAAAGTTACTAACTGGGCCCAGGGTGATCTGCATCCACAGCAGATTTCATCCTGCTACTCAGAACAGCATGCATCTGAAAGCTTATGAGCTGCTTCGTTCTGGAATCTTCCATTTAATATTTTCAGAGCCTGGCTGATCATAGTAGCTGAAGCAGCAAAAAAGCAAAACCATGGGTCAGGGTGGACCTCTGTATACAGACGGCCCCCAACTTGCAATTTTTTGACTTCACGATGACTTCAAAACTGGTTCTCGGGCCGGGGATTTAGCTCAGTGGTTTGGTGTTCTGCCTTGCAAGCGCAAAGACCCGAGTTCAATCCCCAGTACCAAAAAAACAAACAAACAAAAAAATAAAACTGGTTCTCATCCAGTAGAAACCACACTGTAGATTCTAGTCTCCTCTTGGGCTGTAATGTGAGGGAAATACTCTTTCACTGGTGGCAACAGAGACCAACAGCTCCTGGCCAACCTCACAATCCCTGACAGACACTGCCGGGCTGGGCTGCTGAGCCATGAGGTTTGCTGGGTCAGGTGGATGAGATACATTTTGACTTATGATCAGCTTACTACCAGGACAAAACTCCATTGAAAACTGAGGAGCACCTGTAAACAGACAGATGAGATTTACTATGGGGACTGGCTTACCAGATGAGGAAGGCTGTTGTGGCTCACGTCTAGACGGTCCCCCAAAGCCTCGTGTGATCACAGGTGAGGCTTCTCAGAGGTAGTCCACAGATTGGTTTCCCATAGTCCTGGGTGTGGATAATGGGAAGGCTCACCAGGGGTTGTAGCTGGCACCACCAAAAGGCAGGGAGCCTGGAAGGGATAAAAGGGAGAGGCAAGCTGCTGCTGCTTCACTGCCGCCAGCCTGCTCTGCCATGCACTGTTTCTCCTTTGCCACGGCCCTCTGCCAGGCCACCCTGCCTTGGACCTAGCTGTGGACTGAAACCTCTACAAACTGTAAGCCACAATAAACCTCTCCTCCTCTAACTTTGGGTGTCCAGCAATGAGAAGTGACTAAGACAAAGGCTAAGGCTCCCAACGCGCTGCTGTAGAGCTGGAGATGCCAGAACGTCGTATGATTTAATACAGTTTGAGTCCCAAGGCCTGAGAACTAGAGGAGATGGTGCCTGAGAGCAGAAGATGGACATTATTCTAGCTCAAGAAGGGAGAGAGGAGGCCAGGGATTTAGCTCAGTGGTGTCCCCGCCTGCCTTGCAACCGAAAGACGGAAAGCACGAGGTCCCAAGTTCCACCCCCCACCCCAGGTACCCCCCCAAAAAAGAAGGGAGAGAGCTTGTTGCAGTGGTGCACACCTGTAATCCCAGAACTTTGGGAGGTTAAGGCAGGATGACTGCAAGTTCAAGTAGAGTTTCGGGACTACAGAATTGCATGTTGTCTTAGTTACTTTTCTCTCCTTGATGAGGCAAAATACCTGACACCTGAAGTTAAAGGGGGAAATGTTTACTTAGCATAGTTTGTAAGTTCCAGTCCATGTCTCACTCCAAGGCAGAGGGGCACATGGCAGGCAGAAGACAGCAAAAGGAAGCAAGCAAGAGAAGTTAACAGTTTTTCTGCCCCCTTTACCCTATCCAGAGTACTTAGGGCAGGTAGCACTCACACCCTTAATCCTAGTGCCTCTAAGCTTAGCATTGTATCATGAATCAACTACACACTAGATTCAGTCACCTCTGAAAAACCCTATGACCACTGGAGGTTTTGGGGGGACATCTAAACATAATCCATAACATCCCTCCCTTTTGATACCGGGGATTGAACTCGGGACCTTACACTTGATAAGCAGACAAAAGAACCATTGAGCTAAATCCCCAGCTCCCCCTTTTTTTTGAGATAGGGTCTTGCTATGTAGTTTAGGCTGTCCTTGAACTCACTATGTAGCCCAGGCTGGCCTCAGTCTCCCAAGTGCTGGAATCACAGGTGTGTGCCACTGCACCTGGCACTGTTTTTTTATTTTTGGGGTTTTTGACAGGGTCCGTGTAGTTTAGGCTGGCCTTAACCTATGTAGCCCAGGGTGACCTTAAATTTGCAGTGATGCTCCTATCCCAGCCTCCCAGGTGCTAGAATTACAGGCAGGTGCCACCATGCCCAGGAAATTTTTCACTTTTGTTTTTGGTACCAGGGATCAAACTCAGGACCTTGTTCTTTCGAGGCAGGCGGTGGCACCACTGAGCTAAATCCCCAGCCCAAATTTTTCACTTTTATGAAGTCCAATTTATTTTCTTTTGCTGCCTGTGCTTTTATGTTATATTCACAAAACCATTGCTTCTGGGTGTGGTGGCACAGGCCTGTAATCCTAGCACTTGGGATGCTGAGACAGGGGATTGTCTTGAGTTTGAGGACAGCCTGGGCTATATAGTGAGTTCAAAGCAAGCCTGAACTATATAGTGAGACCCTGTCTCAAAAAACAAAGGAAAGGGAGGAAAAAGAAATCATTAAGTCATAGTTTGTGTGTGTGCGCACACACACACACACACACACACACACACACACGTTACTAGGGATTACGTTCATGAGTGCTCTATCATTGAGCTGTAACTCCAACCTTTTATTTTTATTTTGAGGCAGGGTCTCACTGATTTTCCCAGACTGGCCTTAAACTTGTGTTCCTTCTGCCTCAGCCTTCTGAGTACCTGGAATTACAGGCATGTGCCACAATGCCTGGTTTGTCATGAAGCTTATTTATTTATTTGTTGAGACAGGGTCTCACTATTAGCGTAGGCTGGCCTAGAACTCAGTGTTCTTCTTGCCACAACCTCCTCAGTGCTGGGTTCACAAGTGTGTGTCACCACACCCAGCTGTCATAAAGCATTGTGTTTTGTTTGTTTTGGTACCAGGGATTGAACTCGGACCTTGTGCTTTTTTTTTTTGTACCAGGGATCCAACTTGGGCCCTTGTATTTGCAAGGCAGGCACCAGCACAACTGAGCTAAATCCCAGGCCCTGGGACCTTGAGCTTTCCAGGCAGGTGGTGGAACCACTGAGCTAAATCCCCAGCCCTGTCATAAAGCTTTTATCTAATGTTTTAAGAGTTTTATAGCTTTAAATTTTAATCCTATGCCTTTGGTATATTTTGAATTAATTTTTGTACACAGTATCAGCTAGTAGTCAGCTTCATTCTTTTGCATAAGGATAACCAAATTTTCCCTGCACCATTTGTGGAAAATCATTTCTTTTATTTGCAAGAGGTTTTTTCCTTGGGCTCTATTCTGTACCATTTGTCATATATCTGTCTTTATGCCTCATTGTTTAACTACAATTTTATAGTAAATTTTATAAGCAAGAAGTGTTAGCTTTCTACATTTGTTCTTTTCTTTTTAAAGATGAAAGTTTATTATAAAAGTATGGCAGCTACATCGTTCTTTTTTCTTAGGGTTGTTTGGAATATCTAGAGTCTCTTAAGTTTCCATTTGAACTTAAGGATTTTTTTTTTGGGGGGGGTCCTGGGGATTGAACTTCAGTCCTTGTGCTTGCAAGGCAGGCAGCAGAACCAGAGCTAAATCCCCAGCCCCCTTTCTATTTCTTAAAAAAAAATCAAGTTTTTTTTCAATATTTATTAGTGTATTATTGTGATACATGACAAATACATTCATGGGGGGGAATTGGTACATATTTCTATTGTAAAATCAAGACTTTTGACCCAGGAGAGACATTAAAAATGATTGAGCCAGGTGTGGTGGTGACCTCTGTAATCCCAGCACTTGTTTGAGGCCAACCTGGGCTCCATAGTGAGTTCAAGACCAGCCTTGATTACATAGCAAGACCCTGTCTCCAAAAAAAAAAAAGCCGGGGGGCCAGGGATTTAGCCCAGTGGTTCCAGCACCTGCCTCACAAGCATGAGAACACAAATTTGATCCCTGGTACCCTAAAAAAAAAGTTTAGGGCTAGGGATTTAGCTCAGTGGTTCTGGCACCTGCCTTGCAAGCACAAGGGCCCAAGTTCAAACCCTGGTACCACACATACACACAAAGTTTGAAGCTAAATTAAAACTCTGTTGTCAGCTGGGTATGGTGGAGCATGCCTGAATCTCAGCATTCTGGGAGGCTGAGGCAGCTTCAAGCCCATCCTGGGCAATTTAACAATTTAGTGAGACTGCGTATCAAAACTTTAAAAATAAAATTTTGAAAAGGCTGAGAATATAGCTCTGTTTGAAGACCTTGGGTTCAATCACCAGTACAGTAAATAAAATCCTATAGTCCTGGGGCTGGGATTGTAGCTCAGTGGCAGAGCACTTGCCTACCATGTGTGAGGCTCTGGATTTGATCCCCAGAACACAGAAACACACACACAAACTAGCAGTTAGTCAGGCATGGCATTGTACTCCAGCAATTCCAGCACTTCAGAGGCTGAAGCAGGACTGCGAGTTCTAGCCAAGACAGAAGATTTTATCAATTTTGCCAGACCTTGCCTCAAAATTAAAAAATAAAAGGCCAGGAGTGGTGCATGCTGTAATTCTAGCACATGGGAGGCTGAGGCAGGATTGGTTCAAGTTTGAGGCCCACCTGAACTGCACAGTGAAACCTTGTCTCAAAAGTAAATAAATAAATCTCATCAGCATGATTTGCATGGTTCACTACTGCCCTTGATGCTCCCTCCAATTATTATGTGTACCCAATAAATGAAGACCAGCTCAGAGTGCTCGTCTTTGCCCACCGAGGCGCTGACCTCCCAGCCCACCATATACTTTGAAATTACGTGTTTCTAGTTTTTTTTCTTTAGCCCTCACCGTTGCCCTTTCTAGGCAATTGAAGGATGAAACCAAGCCCTTCATCTTGTATTTGGGCCATGTGGGCCACTGCTCTGTTCAAGCGTGGTTAAGCACAGCACTGTGCCTCTAACCCACAGCCCCTCCGCAAACAGGATTGCAGCCTAAATTCCAAACCTGTGAGACACAGATCCCTGGCTTGCTAGGAAAACACCTCTATCTTCAAGACTGTGTTCTATCTAGTGTTCTCTTCTCCGTGCCTGTTTTTTGCGGTTATAAAACAATGGGACTAGTGGTACAGGTTTATAATCCCAGCAGTCTGGGAGGCTGAGGCAGGAGAATCTCAAGTTTCAGCTCAGACTGGTTTTTTTTTTTTTTTTCAGTACTGGGGTTTATACTCAGGACCGTGCATTTGCAAGCAGGAGGCAGGGGCAGCGCCTTTGAACTGCATCCCTGGCCCAAAAACTTTTCTTTTCACATTCAGATTCTTTTTTTTTTTTTTCACCCTTCAGTACTAGGGATCCAAGTCAGGACCTTGCACTTGCCAGGCAGGTGTGGTATCTCTAAACTAAATCCCCAGCCCACCAGACTGACAATTTATCCGCTAGGTGAGAGATCCTGTCTCAAAATTTTAAAAATATAGCATAAAAAGGGCTGGGGATGTGGCTAAGTATGAAAACCATGGGTTCCATCTCTAGTACTGGAAAAAAATTCCTTAAAAAAACAAATCATTGTGAGATGTGGAAAAAAAAATATTAAAAGAAGAAAATACTTACTGATAACTTTTAGAGGATGGTAGGGAAACGATTCACTGTTTTGAAAACTGAGAAGTGAAAATTCAATACTTTAATAAATTACTTTTCAGTATACACCTGAGGGGAAACCTTGGTTATGTGTGTAACAAGAAACCATTCACAGAAAACACTGGTAGGAGCACTGTTTCTAAGGACAAAAACTTCAGGATGGACAGAGACAGTGGCTTAGGTAAACAAAAGGCAAGTGTACCACAATGAAAGGTGAATAAACGGAGAAAAGGGGCAATCTTAGTAATATGGCAAGTGAAAAAACAAATGACAAAGGAAAAAAAAATCCCCTTAGTAAGAGTTCAAAACTAAGCAAAACCAAACATGTTGCACATACATGTATATGTAATTCTTTTCTTTAAAATAGAAATCTAAGCTGGCTGTGATGGTGCACACCTGAAATCCTAGCACTCTGGGAAGCTGAGGCAGGAGGACCACAAGTTGGAGTCTAGCCTGGGCAACTCATTGACTTAGATACTGTTTCAATTTTTAAAAAAATAAGAGGCAGGAGTAACACTGCGAGTTTGAGGCTGGCCTGGGCTAAATAGTGAGTTCAGAGCCAGACTGAACTACAAAGTGATACCGTCTCAAAAAAATAAAATACAAGAAGGGCTGGGGCCTTAGCTCAATCCCCAATACTGGGATTTGGGGTAGGACAAAGTCAAAACCAAAACAAATCAGGATCAGGAGGGTGGGCTGGAAACAAGTGGAGGCTGGGACACATAGGTGAAGGTCAGTGACAGTGGTGGTTTAGCCATCTCCTGACATACTGGAGTTCATATTAACTTGAAAGTTGTATGTGTGAATATCTTAAAAGAAAGCCATGCAGAGGTCACTGATGTGCGTTGTTAGCTGGAGATTACAAACCATTCTGTGGATCTGAAGTTCACCTCCCCAAACTTAACCGATTTCTCTAATTAGGGCCAGCCACGTGAGAAACTGAAATGAGTGGGAGGGGTGCTAACTGTATTTTCACGTTTCTCTTCCTGTTTTCTCAGAGCCTGGGAAAGCAAGTCAGAATTTCCAATTTTTTCCAATTCCCACATGATTTCCTGATTTAGAACAAATTCAGAGAAAATAAGTTCTTCTCCATTTGGAGAAATTCTTCCCCGTCCTCTTCTGCCTGCTGCGGTGAAACAGGAGGCCTGGGGTGGGGGTGCTCAAACCCAGGTCCCCACCCTCGGCCCGCACATTTGTGCTTTGGTCTCAACTCTGACATCCGGTACCCTCCAACTGGGACCGGACCGTTAACCACTGCAAATGCTGTCTGAACCCGGGCGCCAGCAAGGAGGACCTGGAGAGATGCACAGGGGGCGAGGCACCTGGTCTGGGGTCTTGAGTCTTGAGATCCAGGGCACAGAGGCAACAAGAAGCCCAGGGTTTACTCAGGGCACGTCCCACTCTTCGCCCCCGATGGCCACAGGTCGGCTGCTCCTTAAAAGCACTTTTCAACGGTCAGGTATACAACTCTCAGCAGCTCGCCGGCTGCAGCGGGCGCCCTGGCGAAACCCACCGCCCACATTCCCTCTCCCGGCAGAGTCCAGATGGGGGAGGACAAGGAACTAAAACGTGCTCGGGGCAGCAGCCACCAGAGGCACCTTGATGGCTCGGGAACCGCGTGGGGTTCAGCCGCCCTATCTCTGCGGGCGCTGGAGACCCGAGCTTTTTCCCCAGTGCAGGAGGGCGGCCGCAGCCCAGCAGCCCCGGCAGTGCTCCTGGCCCGGCCCAGGGTGACATCACCTAACTCCTCCGACCGGCGGCGGGAGGAGGGCGGGGAACCCGAAATCCCCTAAAAACATAGTGAGTAATCGGCAGGCCCGCCCTCCAGGCGGAGCCAGAGCTCAGCCTCTAGCCGAGCCGCCCATCGCGCAAGCCCCGGGAGCGACCTCCAAGCGGGCAGCC